TTGTTTCAATTTTCTTCTAACTTTTGACAGGGCTAATAGTGCAACGGCAATATTTACACCCGGTGTCCTTCTAAATCCCAGTTCTGGACGTGAATGGGTAGGTCGAATACTGGGCTGCATGCTGCAATAGGCTGACTTTTAAACAGTTCCGTCTGTACTTCCAACGCGCATCTTATATCCCGCCTTCTGGATGTTACATAATGGTTCTTTGGATACTTTCACATGAGACATATGAGTACCTTTGCTGGAGGGGAGGGGGAGGGTGGGGCGAAAATTACAAAGAATGCTATAAATGCCATTTTTCACGCTATTAGCTCCTAATTTCAACTTAATGTGAGAGCCCAGGTAACGAATCAACTCAGGCGAAGAAGATGCGATAACTGGGACGAGTTTTATTTTTCTGACGGTCCGGCTTCCGTCGGTTATCATTAATCATAAGTAGTCGCAGAAAAGTCGGACACATGCACATGTCTGTGCCTGTATGTTATAGCAGCATCAAAAGTTACGTTAAGATTTTAATTTGTTTTTCATCCCTCATATTTCCTCTTGCATTAAAGGACACCGTCTCTTCTGAGAAATAATAGAAGCGTTTTATGGAACAGATAATTAATTAGCCTAGGTTTACGGATCGCTTTTCGAAACCATCAGCTAAGACAACATGAGATACGGGCTCAGTGAGCTGCAGGATGTAGTTGCCAGGTTATTGCATACCTATAACAATTAACGAATCTTTCTGGTAAGCTAATAGTTCGGTTGCCGGCATGCGGACTTTCGTCTTCTGAAAAATTCGCGGCCATGCTGGATGTTTGCGTGAGGATTGCTTGACCATATGGCCTACAGGCCTAGCTAAGTCTAAGCATCGAATATAGGTTGGGGAGGCCATTGCACTTGCTAATGTCCTGGGGACCCATAAAAAACCGACGCAAGAAAATCGCGGCTCACGCGTTTATCAGCTCTGGCATGCATGCCGACCTCATCGAACTTAAATGAGTGCCTGGGTCTCGTCAAATGAACCACAGCTTGAGATTTTGCATAATTTCTTAATACAGCTGCCTCGTGCTAGGCAATTTGCGCTTGGAGCAGGAAGAAGAAAGAGGAGCGTTCCCCAGGAGAGGTTTATTATAAGCCTGACGTTTCGGGTAATTATCTCGTTTACCCATCTTCAAAGAATGGACACTCTTTTTCATGGGCATTGTACTTATGCTGCCCTTTCTTCCGTGCGCGTGTTCTACCAGTGACTCAACCATGATTGGTAGAACACGCACACGGAAGAAAGGGCGACATAAGGAGGAGGACCATGGGCCAGAGTGTCCATTCTCTGAAAATGGGTAGACGAGACAATGGCCCGAAACCTGAGGCATAGGCCCTCTTATCTACCACCCGGGAATCGAAGTTTCAGCATTTTTTCTGCAATACTGTCGGCCTAGTAATCACCCTTTTCTCTATTATGCTCAAACGATCATGGCCACATAATCGGATCATATTTTGTGACCGTATTATTTGAAATAAAAGACATTTTTAAAGAGCAGGCAACGAATAATCTCAATAATGAGCAAATAAAACAACGGCTGCAGACCTTTTTATGTATTTGTTGACATCGTCTCGGTAAAATGGATGTCCGCCTTTCTCTACTGCTGGTGATCATCAGGCAAATCAAAGCTGATAACGTGTTATGACATGCATGGAAGTTTGGCCTAACTCATTCGCATTCAATGACATACTCAATAGAAGGTAAATAAAAAGCCCGTAAACTTAATTTAGTAAATGTTTTGAATGCACCACCTTAAACTCTCTGAGCCTGTCCGAGTATAGTGGTTTGTCAAATATACAAATACTAATGTGACAACGTACAGATTTTCGTGAAGGCAAGTCTGTTGACAGGGTGTTTTCTGCAATTTAAGATAAAAGAGCATAATATTAGTATGTTGTCTACGTTTTTCGACCGTATATATGAGGTTTTTCGTTATCTTTATCTCAAGATCATCTTCAACGTCATTCTTCGTCCGACTTTGGCCTCTGCGAGAGTACCCAAATCTCAGCCAATAAATATTGACATCGATGCAGCTGAAAGTGGACAGCAGCCATACAGCGTATCCAGAAAAATATGGCTGCAGAGGGAAGGCCATTTTAGCTTTAATTACACCTCTTCGAAACCGGTAAGCTTGTTTTCTCATTCATAGCATTTCTCTATTTCGTTTTAAGGAAATATATGCTTTGAAATGTTTGCCATATTGACAATACGGGTTTTATGTAAAATCCCAGAATGGCGCATTTTGCCAACGAAGAGGTTTGTCAGTGTTCCCGTATGCTTTCTAGTATTCGGGCCCTAACAAGGCTACCCGTTGTAATTTTCCCTTGGATTGTAATCACGAACTTAAGTAACTCCTTCGGCGCAAAGGCTTTAGGTCAGGTTTTTAAGCTGTGTAAGGTTTGTGAAAATGTGTATTCAGGCTTTTGAGTAGCTATCGTGCTGTCAGTTTCATAAGTCAGCTTAAATGTTACTCTCGTTTAGTGGGTAAAGCCAAAATCTGCATAAGGGAAAAGGATCCTTGGAAGTATCCAATCTTTAAACTTGAAAATATGGCCGAGTCCCGTAGAGTGAGCTGCAACCTGGGAGTGTACGTTTTTCTTTCTCACCGCTGCTGCATGATCGGTTGTTCACGTCCAGAGTAATCTCCCTGTTTCTTCGAGGTAACTGCATTGTCCGCAACTCCACCAGATCCGGTAAACGACTCCAGCCGTTTCCTGCCGTGGCAGTGAGTGTTTTGATCTCACGAACCGGCGCCTGATGGTTGATTCTGGGCTGTGCGCACTCCCAACTCCAAGTGGGTTGAGCAGGTGGCTGACCACTTCCGATACATTGTTCACGTAAGGAAGAGCTCGTTAAAATGTTGAGCCAGTTAGATATTGTTTATTCTCTCAGTCTCGGTTCCCGTCAAAGATATTGTTATTCAGCATATTTGTCTTCTAATTCTGAACGCGCCGGTATAGCGCTCTTACGCAGCTGCGCTTGTGACCGATTGGGTGGTTGCTGCTGAGTTTCAGGGCTTGCATAGTGTTGGTTGCTTTCCTGCACACTTTAGTTTTTAGGACACCAACGCCTTTGCGGCATATAAAGACATCCAGGAAGCCAGCTTGCTGTCGTCTTCTTCCTCCTCATATAAAGTTAATGTCCGGGGAACGGCGTTTAGATGTTCCTTGAATGTCAACATCTGATCTCGCTCAAAAATGACAAAGGTATTGTCCAATTACCGAGAAACCTGGAGATTACTCCGGACGCGAATGACCGAGCATGCAACTGCGGTGAGAAAGAAAGACGCAAACTCCCAGGTTGCAGCTCGCTCGACGGGACCCGGCCATATTTTCAAGTTTAGCGAGGCCAAAATCCTCGCAACAGTTGACAACCGCGTGAGCCACGAGCTGCTCAAGTTTTGGTTTTCAGGGCCCCGCAACAGTTTTTCGTTTCCCTTCTGTGTACTGTGACATTGCCTGAGCAAGAGGATCAGTCTAGTGGGAAGGGCAGGGCCCAACGGCAACTCTGGCGACAGCGAGCATAATTGTTGCGCAATTCCCAAGCTCGCATCCAACACAGATAAGGAAATCGCGGCACTTAATGAGTCGAACGCAAAGGGTCAAGCCATCACCGCACCCATTAAGACCCCAAGCGGCGAGCACTGGAGATGGACAGATAATTATAGGACGCACGCGGGTGATCTCTACGAACTATAAATACCGTGCAATCTGTGCATGTTTCACACTTATCTGTGCATTGCTCTGATTATTCTGCCATTACTTATGATTAAGGATTCCCGACAGAATCCGAAGCGTCAGGGAAATAGAACGCTTGTTCCAGTGGTCGCAGCCTCTTCATCAGTGTTTACCTGGAAAAAAGTAGGAATTTTCTAGGTATATATTTACTAATATAAATGGTCATAGTAGCGCATACTCTGGAAGCAAGCTCTTTGCAACTGTCGACGTTTTATTATTTCCAATTTGTCGAAGGGCAAAACGTATTATACAGTATATCAGTCATTCCCTCTATGAATATATTCCTATTAACAGAGTTAACACTAAGTTTTGAACCTACAAAATACCGTTTTGTAGAATTAAATGTCCAGATTCCCATGTCCTTCTTTATAATGATCTCCATTGGCATATATTTTAAACGCAATGCTGACCTTGTTTTGGATACCACGATTTGCGTGTTCTCGTGAAAAGGTGCTGGGTTTTCGCAAGAAATCATTTATGTAATTCTCTTCAGAATGTGTTTTTCTTCTTTACTGGAAAATGTACTTCTTTTCCTAATGTTCGCATCTCAGGTATCTAATCTCAAGTAAGAAGAGATGGAAAGTATATGACTTAGAGTGATTACTTATGCTTACGGCTGGAACAAAAAGCCTATTAAACAATAATCTTATAGAAAATTTTTCTCAAAATTATTCCTTCTTGTACTCGTTTAGCATCAAGTTAAGCATCCTTTTGATTTTGGATTTAAAGGAGATTATTTCAGTTTTAAACAAGTTCCTACTTATTATGTATTATAGGGCTGTGAAGCATTCATAGATAATACATCGTATCCACCAATTTGTTAATGCTGTATAAAATCTATACAAAATTTTCCGCAAGTTTTGCTAAATTATATGAGAACAATATGATCCCTTCCTCATACTTTAGGAAAAAACGTGCACTACCTTACGCAGGATGAACATAGCACAGAGTTTTGAAACCTTGAGTTCAGTTGT